GCAGGTAAGGGTTTGAGTACAGCCTCTACCCTAGGCTAATAGCCACAGGGCACCTCAGCACAGTCAGAGCAGTCTGAGAACTATGGTCTGGGGTCCTTGCCTTACTTCCTTCCTTTACTTCCTTCCTTTTCCTTCCTTCCTTCTTTTTTTTTTTTTTTTTTAATGTTTTTACTTTTATTTTTTTGAGATGGGTTTCACTCCTGTTACCCAAGCTGATGTGCGATAGCGTGATCTTGGCTCAGTGCAGCCTCTGCCTCCTGAGCTCAAGCAATTCTCCTGTCTCAGCCTCCCGACTAGCTGAGACCACAGGTCCATGCCACCATGCCCAGCTAATTTTTTTGTATTTTTTTTCTGTAGAGACGAGGTTTCACCATGTTGCCCAGGCTGGTCTCAAACTCCTGAGCTGGAGTAATCTACCTGCCTCAGCCTCCCAAAGTTCTAGGATTACAGGTGTGAGCCACCATGTCCCCTTCATTTATTTATTTATTTTTGAGCAGAGTCTCACTCTGTCACCCAGGATAGAGTGCAGTGGCATAATCATGGCTCACTGCAGCCTTGACCTCCCAGGCTCAAGTGATCCTCCCACCTCAGCCTACTGAGTAGCTGGGACTATAAGTGCCTGGCTAATTTTTTTTTTTCTGTTTTTTGTTTTTTAGAGGCAGGGTCTCACTTATGTTGCCCAGGCTGGTCTTGAACTCCTGGGCTCAAGTGATCCTCCCGCCTCAGGTTCCCAAAGTGTTGGGATTACAGGCAATGAGCCACCACACCTGGCCTTATCCCCTTTAAGCCCCTGGTAAGACAGTCCCAGTCAACCCAGCTGTCCCAGAATTCAGCCACCAAGGTTCCCCTCAGAGGCTTACTACATCCCCTCGGTGACCCCTCCCCACACACTTTTCTCCAATTTGATGGTGGATGGTCAGACATTAGTCTGACCTCCAGGGCCACCTGCACTCCCCAGCCAATCAGCCACTACATGAACAATGCCCTGTAACACCCTAAACTTGGGAGAAGAAGATCAAACCATTTTACAAAGACCCTCCCCTAAAAACTCCCTGAAATCAGAGACAACAGGGAAGGGCACTTATGAAAAGGATTTTGGATGGGTCTGGGAGAGAAGTCAGGTATGGGGGCTTGGCTATGCCAGTGGAGCACTCTCAATGGCCTTTCCCACCAAGTGCTACAGACAGATATGAGCAAACTGCACTAGAGACCTTACACACACAATCCCACACATGGAATTCCCAGGCCCATCCCTCAGTCCTGGTCTGTTCCACGTGTCCGAAGCCTTCCCTGGACACTCATTAAGACTGTGGTGAATCTGGGGGCCTCTGCCCATTGCTCTGGGCTCACATCTGGGCCCCATCTCTCCTCTGCAGGTTTGCAATTTCAAACAAGTTCTGTTCCATCCTGCAGCTTCCAGAAGACACCCCCTTCCTGGGACTTGGGGAGTGGTCTCCTCCTGTACTAGAGGCCACCTCCTTGGACTCCAGCGGAGCAGCCTGATAAAGCTGAGGCATCTTCCATATGGAGTGATGGTCACACAGTACCCATGGATTCCTGGGGAATGAGTGTTCAGCCTGGGGGCCCTTAGCAGTTTATATGGAGAAAGGCAGAGTTCCAGCTCCTATAGCCGTTTGCCAGGCTGCCAAGCTGGGGAAGGCTAGCCAGAGAGCCAGAGGCTGCCATGCAAACCAGGAAAGCTGAGATCAGCCATCCCTTCCAGAATCCCGAGAGTCCTGACAAGTGCTTCTCCTTGGGCCTCTCGCTGTGAACTTCAGGTTTGTTGGTCTCAGGTCCCTCTGTCCCATGAGACCAATCTGGTCCCAGGCTCAGGCACATCTGCAACTCCCAGGACAGCAGCTGCTCTCCACCTCCCAAACCCAAAGCTAAGATCCATTCAACCCTGCCCCTCACCCAGCCCCTAGAGAGGCTGGTGAGCCTGACACATCCTCCCCCCGCAACTCCTGGCAGCAGGGCTCCTGGCCTCCCTCACCCCTGCCAAAACAGAAAGCTGATGGCTGCTGTCATTCCATTTGAAGAACCTTCACAGCAGTCCCAGATCCAGAGAGAAAAAAGAAGGGTGTACACACATGCACACACACACAGCTAAAGGCAGTCAGCTGTTGGTGCTACAGTCAGAAGCACCCAGTCTCATTAGTAATCTCCTTTCTCTGACCCCAGGGCAGGGGAGATGAAGGCAGGGATGGAAGGGAACCTTATATTCTCTCCTTGCTGTCTCCTGGGCTGAGAGAGGCACAGGGCCACCCCTGTCCACTGCAGGCTGTGACCAGCTAACAGAGCTAGCCCCTTCCTCATCTCTCCCCTGGCTTTGTTCCCCAAGACGCAAGGTCAGGCTAAACACAGGAGTAGAGGCAACCCCCATACCCTGCGGCCAATACAAGCCCAGGACCTTGGGCCATGCCTCTTCTGTGGGCAGCTGGTCTCTATCTTTCCCTGCTGATGGCCAAACCCACACAAGCATGCCTCACAGGGGAGAAGCCCCTTGCTCTCCCCCACACCCCTGGCTTTCTTGCCTCAACCCCCACTCTAGGAGCATAGCTGACAGGCTCCCATGGGAGCGGGGAGGAAGGAGGAAGGGCTTTCATCAAAGAGGTGACGTCAAAACCAGGCAACTTGTGAAACTGTCAGGGGCCGGGAAATTTGGACAAAGGTGTCTAAAAATAAACCCCTGAAGCCAGGAAAAGGCTTTGGTGGCTGAGTTGCTCGCCACCACACCACATGCCACACGTCCTGTTCTGAGGTCTGGAACCCAAGAAGTCTCTTCCCAGGGGTGCCCCTCCAGACGGGCCCATGAGGTTGAGGATGGCACCGACAGGACTGGAGAGGCCTTCCTTGAGTGAAATGGGGGAGGACTCCCCAGAGGTGGCACACTAAGCAGGCCTAGGGCACTGGTATCTTCCTTCCTGCCCACACCACCAGCCAGCCCACCCCCACCTCCAGTCCAACCGCAGCCAGGCAAGCACATCCTGCCCAGCACCCCTTCTGGCCACCACCCTCTAGCTCACAAAGGAAACTCCCCTCTATTTTCCCTGTGCCCCTGCCCTACCACTGTGACAGCCCTCCCCTTTCCAGATCTTCTCACTCCTGATTCTTTAAACCTGTCCTTGACCACCAAGGACACAGCTGGTGACCTAGGGCCTCATTTATTCATTCCTCAGCCCCAACACCAGACTCCAGGGACATCTGAGCTCCCATTTCCATCATCAACACTCTGTCCCTTTCCCCAAGCTGCTTTGGTGAACAAAGTTGCAAGGATCCTCCAAGTGTACCAGGCTCTCACTCCCACTGACTCTCTTGTCCTGTTCCCTGACCCCTGCCACACTGGCCACACCCTCTGTCCAGCCTTTGCTGCCACAGGTTGTCTATCGCCTACCTGGCCCCACAGAGGCTGGGAGGCACAGGGCAGCCACCCAGGTCAAATACTGCCAACAGGCTGATGTCCCCAAATATATCCACCAGCCCAGCCTTTTCTCAACTCCAGGCCACACATACCATTGCTGACTCCACACCCCCCAACTTAGATGTATCTCAGGCAGCTCCCCTGACATAGCCCAAATAGCTACCTTCCCCGCAAAACCAGGACCTCCCTCAGTTTCCCACATGTCAGTGAAAAGCATCACTACACGCTTGCCCATCTGCCCAGGCCAGAGGGGAGCAGAGCCCTCTGTGACTCCCTCATTGCCTCTCCTTCCCCAACAGCGAATCCACCCAAAGTCCATCAGTTCTATCCCAAAAGTGATTGTAAATCTCTATCCTTGTCCACATCTCTGTAGCCACTGGGCCTGCCCAAGCTGCCACCACTTACAATGGGATTCATGACAGCCTCCTAGGCTAATTCCTCAACCCTAGGTCTAAGCATCTCCACCTGGTCCCAGGTCTATGGTCCAGTCCCACCCTGCCCAGATATGGGACAGCCCATCTTGTACAGACGTGGCTTCACGTGTTATTTTCCTGGCTGGAACACTGCAGTGACTTCCTGCTGCATGTAGATCAAAGCTCTGCCTAGTTCTTATCTCCTCTCTAAAGGCTCTTGTAGGACTCTGCCTTGAGGTTGTCGCCTCCGAGAGGCTGTCCCTGATCATTCTGTCCAAGTTGGTTCCCTGACTTTTCTCACCCTCTCCTTCTCTAGCACATGTCCCATTTTTGTCTGACATTTATTACCTATCTTCACCACCTCACTGTGAATGTCTGTTTCATGCACCAATGTTTCATTCACATTGTGCCCATTATAGCACCTGGCACACAGACAATAAATACAAGTTAAATGAATGAACAAACAATCACGTCCAAACCCAACTGGGGTCATTTCCCTAGCACCCAAATTTACAAAACGTTTAGGGGAGGAGGGATGTGTAACAGGGCATGTTTTTAAAAAATCTATCTCTGTAGACACAGAAATCCCTGTCAGATGACCCATGGCTGGCTCTCCTTCCTCCAGGAAGGTTGGGCTGCCAGCATTGCCAGCGACCAAGTCAGGAAGTAAAGGAGACAGAGCCTGCCACTGCTGCCCCAGCCCTGGCCTCTGGGAGCAGGTATATAAGCCCATGCAGAGGCAGGGCAACGGGCAATACATGATTACCTGGGGCCTGCCCAGACACTGGGAGCCTCAGGTCCTTGCTGTGCAGGCCTCCAGCAGGATGAGAATAAAGTGGCCTGTCCATTCATCTGAGCCAAAGTGTGGGATAAGCACTAAGGATGTCTTTGGTCAAAGCCAGAGAGCCAAACTAACCAGACCAGGTTTATGAACAAGCTCTCCATGCTCTTGGGATATGCTCCGGCTCCCACAAGATCTTGGGCATCTGAAAGAGATGCCAACAACCTCTGCCCATCTTCCTAGCTCCACAGGTACCTGTTCCATGAGGGTCCCAGGGTGCTGCTCTGCCAAAACCACCTCTTCCTCCCATTCTAGGCAGTCCTCCTCAGCTCCACCCAAGGGGCCTGGCTGTCCCCAACACACACACCCCAGGCCTGTGCCTCACCTTGATGTAGGTGTCCAAGGCAGGATGGACACGGCGGGTAGCCAGCCAGATGGACAGGATGGTGGTGTAGGGGAAGGTGGCTGTCACCACGTGGCTGGGTGCCGGGAAGGAGAACACCTTGAAGCCAAATTTCTGGTAGAGGTCAATGAGTTCAGGGGAGGGCGATTCCTCACCTTCACTCAGGATGCTGCCCACGGCACATCGGCACTTATCAGGGGGCACCTGGGGAAGCAAAGCATGGGTGTGAGAGTTGGGCAAAGGAAGGAGGCCCTCAGACCTCCTTCCTCCTGGAGTTGTGCCAGATCAGGCCTAAAACCACCACCAGCTCTGACAAGCCATGCAGCCCCAGATACCAGGACAGAGCTAGCTGTTTTCTTACTGGAACCCACCTATGGCCCCTGCCTGTGGCATCGTACCGCAGGACTCTCATCTATTCCTTCAACAAACATGCCACGCCCTGTGGAAACTCAGGGATCATGCTGAGGGGTTAGACTTGGTCTCTGCCCTCCCGGAGGCCAGGAGAGGGAAGGACAGAGAGGACCTCTGAACCATCACCCTCCACATGCCTCCACTGAGGGGGCCATTCCACCCCACCATGAGACCCTCTGTCAGCCCCCACGCCCCAGGGCCACCAGTAGAACTGTACAGTGGCTGATCCTTCAGCCTGGGTCCAGCACAATCCTATTAGCTCATTTCCCTCCTATCTCCTGGAGAAGAGCAGGCTTCATGGGCAGAGAAATTATGGCAGGCAAGGGAGCAAAACTGAGGAGTAGGAATAAAGAGCTCAGAGCCCTCCAAGGTCATGCCCTAGGAAAACAAGAACATGTGTGTGTGTGTGTGTGTGTGTGTGTGTGTGTTTACACACATGCTTGCAGGGTCAGGATCTGGCAAGTGGCTGTGGAGGGGCTGCAGGAAGCACCTGTCAGGACACAGAATTGGGATCACTGGCCTCTGGGTTGCTGGTGAAATTCTGTGAAGAGATCATCCTCCCCATCCCTCTCGTAGGGCCAGCTACCATCACCAGAGCCTCTAGACTTCTTCTCCAACCCATGGCCCATCCAGGGACCTATCCCACTTCCTAAGTCCCTTCCTGGCTAAAAGCTAAGATCACTGGGTTCCCCTTCAAGTCTCTATAGGTTGTTAGTGCCTGCACTTTCCACTCTGCTCCTCTCCCTACCTAACTTCCCTCCTCTGGCTGCCAGAAACCTTAGCCATGTAAGGCTCCTGTGTGAGCCTCCACCTCTTCCTAGGACTGACCCAAGGCTGCAAGACTCAGTACTCATTTCTCCTCCTGGCATCCGGAGGCCTCACTTTGTCTCACCTACTGCTCCCTGTTTCCCATGTCAGCTTTCCAGGTGCCTAAGTCTGTACCAGCCTTCAGGCTGGGCCCTCAGAGGCATGTGATCTTAAATCCAAGAGATTCAGCACAGACCTTGTACCCTCAGTCCTGGGTTTTGCTCAACTCTACAGGCTCCTTTCTCCCCACCCACCACAAAAAATTTTTTTTTCGCCAGCAGTTCACCTTCACAGGGATGACCCCTAAGTTTAAAAAGGCTTCTCCCTCTACCTCCACTTACTCCTCTCCCTACCCCTCCTTCCCAGCACTGTGAAGTCATTATTACCTGTTCTCACCTCTCCCTCCCATTATACCCCTTTCCAAGCCCTCTCTGAAATCCCCTGGGGGTTTCTCAGCCCTGAATGGCCTCCTCTACTGAAGCCAACCCAGCCCTTCCTTTTAGTCACAGTTTGCCTGCGACTTGGGCACCTATTCCAGGCTCTCACCTCTAAGCAGACCCTAACGGTAACCCTCAACTGCCTGTGGCTCTGGTCCCCTTGTAGCCCCCTTGAATCCTATGGCATCCAAACCGGGCTCAGAGCTTTAGTAGCAGGCAACAGGGTGTAGTGGTCAGAAACACAGCTTGAGAGAGGCAACCACGGTGTGAATCTGAGTCGTGTGATTCTAGACAAGTCCCTTGGGTTCTGGGAGCCCCAGTTCCTCAATATCTATTACAGAACTGCCATATTAAACAAGAAACTTCACGAGAGCTTAGCCTGGGCCCAGCATTCAGCAAGTGCTCCATAATTGTTGGTTATTAGTAGCTATGACACAGTCCAAACAACTGTCCATGGCCTAGAATGCCCAACGACCCAAACCTCTGAATATGCAGCTCCTCCCTGCCTGTCCTTCAGGTTCAAATGCCCTCTTGGAGAGTCTTTCAGAGTGGTTCAGTGGCACTCTCTTCTCCCCCAATAATTTGCTGTAAACTCTCTTGACCTCCACAAGTCTACTTTGCGCAGTCACTTCTCTTGGCCTGAAACTCCTCCCACCCCACCCAGAGGCACAGGAGACCACTGCAATACCACTTCTTGTCTCTAGATGGTGCAACTGCCCTACTCACAGGCCAAGACTTGAGCATGACCAGATAGGCAGGAAGTTACCTGGTGGACCTCCTGCTGACAAGCCAAGGGACACTGCCTGCCACAAAGCCTATCTTCATGTCCCTTACCTTACCAACCTGTGCTGTGCAAAAGAAACATCTACATAAGTCACATGGAGAAACAAGTGGAAGGTCACTTGATCTCTTCCTCTCTACTGCTGGCTTGCCTGGGTTTGAGTTCCAGGGTCTTTCCTGGGAACGCTTCAGCAGCCCTCATGGGACTCCCAGCTCGACATCCTCTTCAGTAGCCAAAAGGCAACAGAACACATGTGGTCATCTTGCTTAGAACCGCTCAATGGCTCCCAATTTACCTCTAGGATGAAACTAAATTCACAAGCCAAGTAGGCAAGGTTCTTTTGGAGTGGCCTACATAATACTGCATGAATTTGCCCACACACTCACCTTGCACTCCCTTTCTGCAGCCTCAGGCCCCAGCAGGGGCCACAGCCCAGATGGGCAGGCACCTACTGAGTGTCTGCATGGCAGAGGAAGGGATGGATCCAGGCTCTGGCCCAGCCCGCCTTGCCAGCCTCCTCACCCGCCACACCCCCACACACACCCACATGAAACTATTTGCAGCTCCCCAAACATGCCACGTCCTCCCATGCTTCCTGCCTTTGCGTAAGCTACTTCCTCTGTCTGAAATGTCCTTCTTCACTCTATTCCAGAGTCCCTTCTGCCTGGGAAACTCTTGCCCATCCTGCAAGACTCAGCTCAACTTTCCCCTTCAAAGCCTTCTGTTGCTCTCCACCAAGCAGCCCCTCCTCTCTGATCCCAAGTACCCACCAGGCAGAAGGTCTTGTGCTGCACTGTAACTGATGGCCTCCCCATCTCTCTCCATCACTCCAGGCCTCTAGGCAAAAAGGTCCAGGATCCTGCGCACACAGAAAGTTCTTGAGGCATGCTCAGTGACAGTACATGCATGCACACACAAGCCCTGCACCGTAACAAACTTCCTCTCCCTCTACCTGGAGAAAAGGTGGAGCTCCTGTCACAGTGGAAGAAGGGAGCTAAGAAGGCAGGGCTCCTAGGATCGAGGAGGTGTGTGGGGCACAGCAGCTCCTTTCCTGGCTGAGCAACCCCCTAATTCTACAAGTAAGAACACTTCCTACCCCCTCCCCTGCCTTGGCCTAAGTGGGAGCCTAGAAGGTCCCTCAGCAAGCCTACCACCCACTAAGCAGCCCCATGCAAAGTTGAAGCTGGGAAGCAGCTGAACAAGGCACCAGCAAGAAGAAAATGGAACAGGCCCTAAAATAACCCAGAGTGTGGCAAGACTGATCCAGTGGCAGAAGAAAGCTTTCCTGGCCTCCCAGTAAAGCCCAGACCCGCCTCCAGGGAAAAGGCCTGCTAAGACTGTCAAGCGCCCAGAAGGCTGGGATGTCCCAATGGGCAAGAGACCCCATCCACCTTGGCTTAGTGCAGTATCTTTATTTGGGCCTAACCCTAGGACACAGGCCTGGGCCTCCCAGCTCTACCTGCCTGCTCCTCTTCCTCCCCAGATCAGCTATTTCTCTGGGTACCTCTGCCCAGAACAAGAATTGGATCAGAACTAGTACCTACAAGGAACCACACCCAGGAAACAGGGCAGTGGCCAGGCCCACCACCACTCGGGGTAAAGACAAGCCCATTCAGGATGTGTCCTCAAAGCAAGAGTACCAGGAAAACAATAGAGGCATGCCAGACCCCAGAGCATCTCCTTTGGGCAGAGAAGCCTCCTAAGTCCCATTACTGGGAGAAGAGGGCAATCTGCTTAGAACCTGAAGCTTTCAGGTCTGAGCTAGTCCTAAGGCTGGCCCCACTGCCCCTTCCTGAGTGGTGTCACAGTGCCCTGCTGACCCTGTTGCGTGAGGCTATAGTGAAGACAGCCACTTCAGGGCCCCCGCCAAGCCAAGACTTTGATGAGTCTGGGAACTGGACAAGACTGATAATCTTTCAGGATGCAGGAATGAGAAATGGTGTCAGTGGCCCAGACCAAATGTAGACGTTGGGTTCAGGGTTAATAGAAACAGCCAACCCCAGGCCCACAACCTACACAACCTGACAGGGACAGCAGCACCATCTCTCAAACCCAGGCACAGAGGGCTGCCCTTACTCTTCCCATGCCAGCCTACTGACCCAGAGCTACCCAAGTTAAGGGGGAAAGTAGAGGCAGGGCCCTTCGTTTGCACTGGTACTCCCAAGGGAATAGAGGAGCTGCACTGGCCCATGACTAGAGGGTTGATATGGGACCTCGTTTGCCCTCCTAGGTACTACAGGTCAACACGCCAACCCCCAACTTCCCTGGGAAGCTTATGCCCAAAGGCACATGGAGACAGGCACCAGTCAGGACACGAGATGATGCAGACAGCCAGGCCAGAGGACAGGACTCATTCTTCAGGCTCGGGAGGAAAGAGAGGAGTCAACAGGATGCCAGCCCTCAAAGGTGAGTTTACTTAGAAACCTTTCAGGAACCATCCTCTATACCCCTACACCTTCAAACAGAATCCTAAAAATAGCTGATATCTGACCAGGCACTCACCACTTTCCCCAGGTGCTGCCTTCCAAGCATAAGCTCATTAAATCCAAACAGGCTTCTGTGGTTGGTACTGTTTTCACCCCTGTTCCTGAGGCCCAGACAACCAAGCCATTCAGCCAACATCACATAGCAAGGCAGTGCTGAAGTCAGGATTCAAACCCAAGCAGACCAGCTTCAGAGCTGCACTACACAACCCAGAGGCATCCAGCAGTCCGAGAAATTGGCCCTGGCAAGGAGCAGGCTTCACAATGGCTTTTCCCTGTACTTTGCCACCTCACATTGCCCAGACAACCCGCAGGAGGCTGGGACTAAACCAGAAAGGCAGGCAGGGTCCCTAAAAGTACAAAGTCCCAGTGGCATGAGGTCCTCAGGCAGGACTGGATGTCAAGTGTGATACCCACCTATTAAGGGCTGGGTATTGGACCATATCCTTATCAATTAGCCCCCATAAAACAAAAACCCTGAGGTAGGGATTCTTTTATCCTCATGTGATAGATGAGGAGACAGACTCAGACAGGCCAAGTGAGTCACTTAAAGTCACACACTGGTTAGCAGTGGAGCCTTGATTCAAACCTATAAGAGCAAATCCAAAGCCCCTTCCTCTCACACCTCATCTCACCTCACCTCAAGGACAGTTCTAGTGGGCATAGAGGAGCTTGTGCCTCCAGACCTGTTCCACATAGTTAACCTGCTGCACAGCAAATGCCTGGACTCCACTTGGCAGAAAATAACCATGGAGTAACCAGGATAGGGGGCGCCTGGGCCCTCAGGAAACATCCCAGCCCACATTCCCATTGCCCTTGTTGAGGAGGTCAGTCCTGGGAAATCCTGCTCCCTCACCCCTTCCCAGGCTCCATCCAAACTAAGTGCCTCCAGGGAGGGCAGGGAGCCTCCTCTCCACACATACTGAGGGAAGAGGGAGTGTGACACAGGCCTATGTCAGAACTCTCACCAGCCTCAGCCCCTGCAGACCTAGTGGTCCTGGGCCTTGGTTCTCACTGGACTAGGGGAAAGGCGGCTTTGATGGCAGTCTTGCTTACTAAAGGCAGAAGCAAGTACCACCAGTTCCCCAACCCACTCCATGCCTGGAGCAAACACCACCTCCTAGGTGGTAGGTGTAAGCAGCAAATACAGGTCCACATAAATTGAACTAGCTGCCACACTCCTCTTGCCCCAGCCAGGCTCCCCATACAAGCAAGCAGGCAGGTTGCTTAAGTCCCAAACACAGCAGCAGAAGTGGTGGTGGCACGGAGTGGGGCAGGAGGTAGAGGGCCAGCCTGGCAGACAGGATGGGCCCACAGGCACAGTGACAGCAGCCCATCCACTAGGGCCTGTCCACGGGCCAGAGCAGGCCAGGATCAAGCGAGGCACTCAGGGTCCTCCCAGCTCCTTCCTTCCCCTCCAACACTGAAGGCTCCCAGAGGGACAAGGCCCCAAAAGGGAGCCTGAAGTCACTTTCCAAGCCCCCAGCACCCACCCCAGAAGCAGGGCTGAGGGCAGAGCAGTTTTTCTAGTCAGGACCCTTCTTCAGCCATGCAAGGGCAGTAGGGACCAGTGTGTGTAAGGTAGCAGATCTGTGACTGATATCCACCTACACATGACCCTTATCTTTGAACTCATCCTCCTTCCCTTGCATACCTTGAAGAGGAATGGCCCACACTCCATGAATGCTGGGCTCTGAGGTGGGTGAGTACACCCATGAGCCCCTGCCAGGGTCTGTCCACTTCCCAAGAGACTTCTTCCCTACCTTCCCATCCCCAACCATGCCAAGGCTTTCAGGGATGGAGAATGGAATCCTTCCTCCTGCCTCACAGGAACCACTCACCCAGACCTGCAGCCTCTTCCCATATAGGACTCCAGGGCTCAAGGCTAAGAGCTCCAGCAGCAGCTACTATGAACAGGTCCACAGCAACTGCCACTGTCCCACCTTAGTGGCACCCTTTCTTGTGCTACTTCCTGAGTCCACACCCAGCCTAGGTGGGACCAGCTTCCTCCCTGCCCAGCTGAGGACAGGAAGAGGCATGCCTAGGGAACTGTCCGTCACACCTCATGGGGGTGGGCAGCATCTAAAGGTGGCACCTCTCACCTGGTTACTCACCACCCCACTCACAGAGACTGACACTGCCTCACTGCCTCTCCACACTCACAGAGAAACAGATACTGGCACCTGTTGCTCTGGGCAAGGGAAGGACACAATGGGGGTGGGACACTCAACAGGTCAGCCTCTATTCTCTTTCTCTGAGAACCAGAGCATGCCCCAGGCTGCATACTGCTGGTGGAGGCAGCCTAGGGGGCAAAAAGCTTGGGTTCTCAGCCCACTCCAGGACCAGAATGGGGCCTTTCCTCTAGACTCCTAACACCGACATACTGGCAGGTCCTGGTCCCCATGGTACCCTAGTGCCCAACACAGAGCCTCGTACAGAGCAGGTGCTCAGATATTTGTTAAATGAAAACAAAAACGTATGAGATCAGCACCTTACTCCTACTATCTGAACCTGTTTTCCCCTCCATAATAGGGACTGTGGACCAGGAGGCCTCAGGTCCTTCCCGACCAGTCTGTGATAGCCACGAGCACCTGAAGCCTGGGGGTCCATGGTTCCCTGAACCTGTTACAATCTCTGTCAGGCAGAGAATGCGATGACCAGCTCCCAGAGTAGATGGGGACCCAAGTGTCCCTGAGCCATCCCACGTGCCAGAGTGTGACGTAGCTCTAAATGGGGACACAGGTGTCTTTCAGACTGACCCAGGACTGGGAGGGGCAGGGTCACAAGGGCCATCTTGACCTGTTCATCATCCTCTGTGCCAGCCAAATGACCACAGCCAGGCCAAGGGTCTAGGTTTTCTCAGTCTGACCTCTCAGCACATGTTAGCACAAGTGGTTTTCCCACCTGTCTTTGTTGTTGTTAAGCATCTGTTGAGGGCTAAGTGCTGGGATAAATGCCTCACCTATATCACTTAACTCTTCTCAGTCTACTATGAAGCAGGTATTTTATCATTACTCTGCAGACAAGGAAATACAGGCTCAGAAAGATTATGTGATATGCCTAAGATCACTCAGCAGGATAGTGATGGGACAGAATCAGAACTCGGGACTGCTAGCCTCAAGGCTGTGCTCTCAGGCCACAGTCCCCCAGACAAGCACCCAAGTCAGACTATGACCAACCAACCCTGGAGACCCAGGGCCCACCCCATGGGGTCCACCACATCTCTGGGAAAGCTGCAGGAGGCAGTGGCCAGGCCAGAATATCCCATGCCAGGTTTCTTCCATCTCACTCTTCCCTAGACCTGCTTCCAGCACTGACCCCAGAGTACCCTGCTGCCTTAGCCCTTTCCCATCCAGGAATTAGCACCTCCAACCCAAGAGGCAACATGTTGATTCCAGAACAGGCAGACATGCCAATGGGAAGAGAGCCAGATGTAAGGACTCTCCTTGCAGAAGGCTCTGACTGGGCCAGGTGTGGAAGGAGGAGCAGGGGCTTACACAACAGAGCCTTTGAAGGGGTGAGGGTCACAGATCTGATCTAGGAGCTCCCCATAGCCCACTGTCTGTCCCATCTCACTCAGGCTCCAGTGCTCCCAACTTCAGTTAGTGCTATCTCCTGGCCATGTGACTGCAAAACCTCAACCAACCCATGTCACCTCTCACCTGGGCCCAGCCCAATCTCTTCTATGGCCTCCTGCCTCATCTCCTTCCCTCCTCCACTTGCCCTTCAGCTAACTTCCTAAAACAAAGGTGGCAAATTGTGCCACACCCTTCTCTTCAACCTGCTGTACTTCCCTACCACCTGGCTGAGCAAACCCTTCCACCTTTCTCCACCCACGACATGTCTACTAACCACAATTCTCCGGTCATCCCATGTCTTCAGGCTCTTGCTGTCGCAGTTTTCTTAGCCAAGTACCCCTTCCCAACAGAGCAAAAATTCTACTTACGTGAGAAGGCCCAGTTGACATCTACCCCTTCTCTGAGCCTCCCCAGCAGACTCATGGCAGCCTCCCTGAACCTACAGCTCAAAGTTCTGTGGACATCAAGCACAGTGTCTTGTTGGAGAATCACTTTTGTGGGGCTGACATGTCAGCCACACAGAGCTTCCTGAGGGCACAGCCAGGTCTGATTCATCTCCAGAGTGTAGGTGTAGAGTAGAACCTGGCACAGACAGGGAACCAGCACACCCTGTTTCAACTAGTGCCCCAGTGAGCCAGTCAGCAGGCATTGGGTAGGCTGCAGGGCTTGTCCACTTGAGCTCTCCAGGCAAAGAAATCAGAGCTGGGGATTCCAAATGCTTGGTTTGGCACAGCTTAGTATTAGAGGCTGAAGAACCCTTGACAGAGCTGCCAGCCCATCCAGCTGTGGGCAGCGCCACCCCATAGCATAGCAGTAGGCTACACTGGCAAGCTCTGACTCACCATAGGTTGTAAGAACAGCCAGACGCCCACAGGGTGCTAGTGATGCTGGATTAGTCTTTGACATCAGCATTCCGAACAATCTTAGTAGCTCATCTGGCTCCACTAGCCCCCTAGGCCATCTCCCAACTAGGCAGTTTGAGGTCTAAGGAAATGCCATATCACTGGGTTGGGGGGCATCAGAATGGCTGAAGAGGTAAGATTCCAAGCCCCATGCCCAGGGACTGCCCTCTCAGCCCTCAAGGGCCTACAACTATGGCAGGAGAGCTGAGGGATGGAAAGCACAGAAACAGCAAGATGTAACCCCAAAGAGTGGGCAGAATCTGAATGGCTTGGCCTTAGAGCACTGGCCCCAAATGGAGATGGAAGGAGGGATGACAAGAAGAGGAGGCAGGGGACCAAAGTCCTGGCAGAAGCTAGGGATTCATGGTGGTATAGTCCACTGCATTTGGAAATCCACAATTAGCCATGGGCAAGGGGAACCAGACCTGGGCAAACAGAAAGCCCACATATGGATGCTGGGAGCAGAAGTCCAGGCTAAATCTGGAAGGCGCTTCAAGCTCTTAGAGGAGGGGTGTGAAAGCCAGCTTGAAGATTCTCCCACCCTTTCCTCAGCAACCAAAACTACCCTCCCCAAAGAAGCCCTGGCCCACCAGGTCCATCAATGGAGCAGAACCCCATGGAGGCTCCTTACCATGTGGGGGTTGTCATAGTAGACAGCGATGGAGCGGAGCTTGGGAGAGATGCTGCAGCTCTCGGTGAAAAGCCGCCCAGTCTCACCATAGGGCCCCATGTGGAACTTGTAGGCCACAGTGACGTTGCGGATGGGGGGTGACCCAGCACTCACTGCCACCCCAGCCAGCAGCCCTGAGTACCCGGCAAAGGCCAGCAGCGTCAGCAGTAGTAAGAGAGTCAGGCCCCCAATCAGGCCCAGTAGTAGCAGGTCCGACATGGCTCTGGACCCCCTACACTGCACCTCAAGGCAGCTGTAAATGAGAAAGAAGGGAGAGGAGGCTGGTAGCCTGCTCTGACAATGTGCCCACCTGCCCGCCAAGCAGTTCTGGCCCAACCTCCTCAGTCCTGCCTTGGGTGCTCTGACCCAGAGATGGGAGGGGCCAGAGGTGTTTACACACAGAGTGACCTAGAAGGGAGCTACAAAGGATGACTGAAGCCACAAGCCTCTTTATTTCTTAATCGCAGTTGGTGAGGATCTCAGAGCAGCTCTACCTGTGAGCTGGCAGCCCTGGTCATACCTGGGGAAACTGAGTCATAGAGGGGCACAGGAGTGAGTCAGCCAGAGACATACTCCTGGCCCTGAAAAGTCTCCCCCAAGATGCACAGATACCAGCCAGCCTGCCTTTCCTCCACATTACCTCTTCCTCCCCACAGCTGAACCACACCACCAGCCCAGCCTCCCCAAGCCTCAGGGAGGACTGCCAGAGGGAAGACTGGCAAATGCTAGGTTTCAAACACTTATTAATGAACAGGGAGACAAACCATACCGAACAAAAACCCGTGAGGGAAAATGTGCCTCAGAAAGAGAATTCCATAAGAAACTCTCCTTTTCTAAGTACATCTGGCCTTCAGGGACCTTGCAATCCAGCAAGCTCACCCATCCAGAACCAGAGGAAAGACCAGAGCAAAACGGCCTGAACAAAGTCCAACACTAAGCTTCCTAGACTTGAACCACCAATGTTAACAAGCTTCATCCCAATTTTCCAGCCCATAGAAGAAACAGTGAGGAGTAAGAGGAAAAGGCTGCTAAAAGGGGAGTCGCATAGCAGGAAGAAGTAACAATTATCCATAAGAGGAAAAGAAGCTGTTCAACAGCAGGCCCAGGAATGTAACACAGAGGCCAGTGTGTGAGCTATTCAAGGCAGGCTGCCTAGGTCTTCAGGCAGCTTGGGGTCAGAGGCCTAACCCTCTTACAAGGAGAGCTTGACCTGAGTTGCCCAGGCGGGGGGAATAAATCACAGCCCAGAGAAGACTGTTTAAAGAGGAAGGGAGCCATGTGACCCACTGGGGGGGACATTCCCACCTCAATTATTTAAAAGTAATATTTAACATTTAAAAAGTTTTGAAGCCGAAAAGGCCACACTGCAGCTTTGTGGAAAACTTAGCTCTGTGTAATTATTTCTTCCCTGTGGGTGCTGGGTGTTGATTTTATGCAAAAAAAAAAAAAAAAAAAAAAAAAAAGTCTTTGGAGTCAATGAGCACACAGTATTTGCTCACAAAGAGGCAAAGTAAATTTCTAAACTTTTGGTGTCAGGAAATTGAGGTGTTGCCCGCTAGTCTCACCCATCTGTGCTTCTACCCATCAGTATCTCTCTCTTTTCTGCCTGTCCTACTCATCTCATCTCCAGTTACTTTCATTCCAATTTTCTTTGATAATGATGAGAAATCTTCCACAGAACACTTACTATATGCCAGGCACTGTCTAAATGTTGAAACACAGCTACTTCATTACCTTAAAGCAATCAAAAGAGGTAGGTAAGGCTAAAGGTACAAGTGGTTAGAGGTTAAGAGACTTGCCCAAGGTAACACAGGTATTAAACAGAGCCACGTGGACCAAAATGCAGGCAACACAAGCCCAGACAGTCTGACTCCAGGCCCCCATTTCCACTTTCTCTCTCTTCTCTGGTGACTGGCTTCCAGAAAGGCTCAAGCATTAAATCCTTGTTGGACATCTCTGAGCCCAAAGCTGGAAAACTCTCAGCATCTAGGCCCCCACTTGCCTTGGGAATGACAGACTCTCACCCTGATCTGCCATTTCAGCTGAACACTTCCTGTCTCCTCAAGGAAACTTAGTATCTACCTTTCTCTTCCTCTCACTTCCCAAACTGCTCAGAAAGGGGGGGAAAAATGCACCTGTGCGTCTCAGAGGCTTGGTCGGCACGGGGAGGGGTAACGTGAATTTCCCCTATATTCAAAAGTAAAGGAAGACGGTCTGGGAGTTCACCTGAAATGCCAGGCTCACTTTTAGTAACTGCTTGCATCCAGTGCGGCAGGAGCCGAGCGCTCCAGTGCTGGGAGCTGAAAGAACAGCCACCCCTGCCCAGGAAATAACCACTGAGCCGACCATCGTGCCCTGACTACCCTCCTCAGGGAAAGCCTACCGGGGCCTCTAAAGCACGGTCGTCCCATTCTCAAACCCTTTGGGGGGAAATCAGAAGCTAAACCTAGCTTTACAAGGTCAGGGCTCTTCACTGGAGCTCTGGTCACGCCCCTCTTCCTGGAGGGCTCCAACCACACTTGGCGCTCAGAAACTGCCGCTGCCGCCGACCTTGGGCAGACTGCGCCCTCCCTCTAGCCTCGGTTTCCCCTCCGCTCAGAGGCCCGGCATGGACGCGTGCGGCCGGTGCCGGCGAGCGTCAGGGAAGGTTGCGCCCAGCCGGCTTCCTGGTGACGCTCACGTGCGAGGCGGCGGAGGGCCGGGCCCTTAAACGGCCCCAGTCCTAGGCTAAACTTCGGTGCTAGCAGGCAGCGGGTGGACTATGGTAGGTCGGGGGCCGCCGCCTCCCACTTTCGGATTCCAGCCCCTGCTCATCCCGGGCCTCGCCTATTTACTCAGAGCCTTTCTCTTCGCCCACCTCCTCACGGAGCCCCACGCACATCTGTAACTTAAGGGACGCTAAAGTTTGCAGCCCAGGCTGCGAGGCGCGGCCTTGGGGGACAGGGGCGGAGTTAAAACGCGACTTGCGCCTCTTTCCCCCACCTCCACGGCCCCCGGGCATGCCCTGCACCGGTGGCCGCCGCAGTGGGGCGTAAGAGTAGGGGCTGCCCCAACGTCGCATCCAGGCCCTCGGACCTGGCCGAGGCCATCTGTGGGCAAGACGATGCAAAGAGCGGCCCGGGCCGCGGGGGTCACGGAGGGGACACGGGGAGTCCTGAGGTCGCGCCAGGGCGGACAGGGGTCCCAGACCTACGCCCCAGCGGGTATGCCTCTTCTCTGGCGCGGCCCTCACCTCAGCAGCCGCCCGCTGCGGACGCCGATCCGCGCAGGCGGCTCAGGGCTCGGTTACCGAGCCTGCGCGCGCCCGCCGCAAACGCTCGCTCCGCCCCCTCTCGCGGCGGGACGTGGCCGTGGCCGTGGGCGCGTGCGCGCGGGAACCCGAGAGCGGAGGCCTGCCCCGCCCCGTCTCCATGGCAACGGGCGTGCGCCTAGCCCCAGAGCCAGCTGCGGCGGAACCCACGGCGTACCTTCCCGCCTCCAACAAACTATCCGGTTGCTGAGGTTGATTTAGCAACACCCCCGGGCATCTGGGTTGCCAGGAGCACCATAATGACAGCCTGGCCCAGGCTTGGGTACGGGAGGCAGCCTAGTGGTCCGCAGTAGAGGGCCAGGCTGGGGGCCAGGGAGCTGGGGCTGAGGAGAATTTGTACAGGCTAAGGAGGTGCAGCACAGCAGTATCAGCCTCTGGCATTTGTACCACCTTTAGTCCTGCCACTTTATCTGACTGTGGCTTCACAACAGACTTGGGAACCAAGCAAGGCATACACAGCTGAGGAAGCTGAAGCCCAGTCTGGGCTCGCGGAAGAAACTGGTGGATCCAATCTCTGCGTAGCGCAAATATCTGCTTTCTGCCTCCGTCCACCCATTCCCACTTCCGTGAGTACATTCATCCATGCAACACTTATTATCACTCCTTGCCAGGACAGTTCTAGGGGCTGGGGATAGAGTGAACAAAACCAAGGCTCCGCCCTCCTGGAGTTCACGTTCCATGGGAATGCCCTTCTTCCAGGCTCCTCCCTCAGTGCCCGGGTTGTAGCTGGGGGAGGCTGGTCTACTTTTCTGGTTTAGCGATAACTTACGTGATTCCCACATCAAGTGTAAGCTCCTTGATGATTGGTTAAATCTTCGCCTCAAATTTCTGAGGACCTACAAACTACAAAGCACTCTTCTAGGGGCCCAAAGATAAAACGCTCCCCTAGTGAGAGTCCCGGACTTTTGGTGGGAGGTGGAGAACGTGACAACTATGCTTCTAAGCTTGGCTACAAGACCGGCGAGGCCAAGAGCTACTTTGGTATCCTGACAAGGACTGATGTTTGGGAGGGGATCCAGCAGATGGGAACACCACGAAGGTGGTGGTGGGAAAAGTCAGCAGTCACAGGGTGGTTCACCTTGTGGATCCCCACTACTGCACCAGCAAAGAGCAGGCTGGGCACAGAGGCAGTCAGAATCCCAGCTTCCTTTCCCTGTGCTTCACATTCTTCCTTCTGCAGGCAGGGGAGATTGAACTTTATCCACAGGGCCAAGCCTGTCCCAGCTCTCTAGGCACACTGGCAGAACAGGCAGCTGGCCCCTCACAGGCACTCCGGGCTGGGCCAGTGCAGGTCGCAGCAGTTGTTTTACCTATGAACATCAAGCACATGGTCAAACCCTCAGCTTAGGTGCCCCAGGCAGGCGGGCTACACACTTAGAAGCATTTCCTTTGACACAACGAGCGGCCATGGCCCAGGCTCAGAGACTGACAGCCTCTGCCTGCGGGGTCTGCGTGGTCATTTCTCCTGCTTCTCAGAAGGTGGTGAGCTTTTCCCAGGAAACCATTATAAGGAGGTGCCCATTCTTTATCTTGTTCTCTCTGCTCACTTCCTTTAGCCTGACTGGGGAACTCTAGAGCCCCACATCAGAGTTCAGCATGTGCCTCAGGAGCTTCAGCACCTCTTTTGTGGAAGGAGAGTCCGCTGGTGACTGGAGCTGCAGGCCATCACATCAGCCTGCCCAGCTTCACCTCAGGCTGCTACCAACAGTGCCAAGTGAAGTCCCTTGGCAGGATCCCTGCAAGGCAGCGGCTGGCCACCAGGAGGCAGCAGCCTACTCTGCAAGGCACTTTCTTTACTCCAACCCCTTGTAACAAGTTGGAGGAAACAAGTTCGCCCAGCCACCTGCTACCACCCTCCACTCCCAATCTTTTTTTTTTTTTTTTTTTTTTTTTGAGACGGAGTCTCGCTCTGTCGCCCAGGCTGGAGTGCAGTGGCGCGATCTCCACTCACTGCAAGCTCCGCCGCCTCCCAGGTTCACACCATTCTCCTGCCTCAGCCTCCCGAGAAGCTGGGACTACAGGCCCCCACCACCACGCCCGGCTAATTTTTTTTTTTACATTTTTAGTAGAGACGGGGTTTCACCATGTTTTGCCAGGATGGTCTCGATCTCCTGACCTTGTGATCCGCCCGCCTCGGCCTCCCAAAGTGCTGGGATTACAGGCGTGAGCCACCACGCTCGGCCTCCACTCCCAATCTTATCTCCCAATAGCACAGATTCCCCTATCATGAGTCCAGACTTGGCCTTCATCTCCTCTTGCCTTCCTCTGTCCAAGGAATCACTACAGAGATTCTTTCTCTATTCTTCTTTGTACATTTCCAGAAAATTGTTTCCCCAGGGCCCCTCCCCTTGAAGAATTAAACAGGAAGCTGGAGTAGACTGTCCCTTCTTTCCCCCACCTCTCACACTCCAAAGCTCTGGTTAACTCTGTGGGCCAGTGACTTAGATTCCTCAACACGGATGACAATCAGAGAATACACATGCAGTAAGAATGCTTTCGCTGCCACCAGCCACTCACAGACACACCATCTCCCACCCTCTGAAGGCACTGTGCCCAATCCCCAGCCACTCACTGGTCTAGTCAGGGCTGCCCCTTCACTGGTCTTGCCTTGGCTGAGGACTAGCTAGCTTCAAGCCACGCTGAAGTCAGCTTGCTGTTTCCCCTGGAGCCTGGTAATACATCTTTCTTCAGGTGAACAAAAGCAGAAAAAGCCCAGTGAACCCCACTGCAACAAAGAGCCTGCCAGCAGTCTTCCTTCTTCTGCTCCTGCCTATCTCACCACCCAAGGGCTATCCCAGAGCCCACTATGTTCTAATATCTATTCCTTTCACCACCACCCAGCCAAACAGCTATCCAGACAATTCCTTGATCAAGCAACACTGCCTTCTTGAGTTTAAATTTTATTTTACAAAAAGAGAAATAAAGAAAACTGATAGGCAGTTATACTGACTTACAATTGTTCTGTTTGCTTTTTTTTTTTTAAAAAGTGACATGAAACACAAGTAAAAATAAATACGTCATAGAAACAGCCAGTTGCCCAGTCTCTGGGGCAGGAGCGCCTGCCCTGCTGAGAGGAGGGAAGCCCATGATCACACCAGCAGCTGGATCACCCAGCCACAGATGCTCCTCAAAGCCAGGCACAGGTCCCAGGCCTCAGGGGCGTCCTGAGGAAAGAAGACGGAAAACCAAAGCCAGATGCCAGGACCCTGGGGCCACCTCATTATCCCCCACTCCTCCTGGCAGCAGTCTGGTCTTAGTGGTTGTCCATAGCGACCCCCCTTAACCCACCTGGACCCTCTTCCCCTGACCTCTCTGAAGATGGTACAAGGGAAAAACCTGTCTGGGGCAGGCTGGGGGGTATTCTTCTGGTGAGTCCCCAGCCCACCCTGAGTAACACAACCAGATAACAGTCATTTTACACCCAGGTGCAGATGAGCACAGCACACACATACATACACGCACGTGCGCGCGCGCACACACACACACACACACACACAGCTGGGCTGAGCTCTCTTCCAGGGAGGGTCCTGGGTCCGGTCACAGTATTAGGTCCTCTCTCTTCTGAATATCATCCCAGTAGTGGCAGCAGAGAGTACCCAAACCTCCCCAAGCCCTCTGCATTGCAGACACTGCAGCCTGCTTGGCTACCCCTCCCCAACACACTAGATTACTATGTCAAATAGACCTGCAAAAGCGAAAGGTGCACACTCAGGTCCCTGAAGAGCAAAGAAGTTGGACATTGCCTGCTCAAGAAGTTCATCGTTATAAGACTCAGATATTCATAAAAGGCCTAGGGCCAAGCTAGTAGCACAGAAAAGCCATTAAGGGGATCACAGCAAAATACACAGGGCAGAAGAGAAGAGCTGGCAGCAGGGGAACAGAGTCTGAAGGTGACCAATGGAGAGCACAGCATTCTCAAATAGTCCTTGAGATACTGATTCCTGGGAGTAGTCAGCAGAGGGCCAGAACATCTCCCCGGTGTCCTTTTGGGGAAGGATGACTTCACCTAGTTTTGGAGGTGAAGAGCCACTGAGCTGGGTGCACAGAAGGCCATGGCTCAGAAGAGAAAGACTGATCTGAGAAATCAAAAGGAAGTGGGGGCTGGGAGCAGTGGCTCATGCCTGTAATCCCAACATTTTGGGAGGCCAAAGCAGGCGGATCCACTTGAGGTCAGGAGTTCAAGGCCAGCCTGACCAACATGGTGAAACCCCGTCTCTACTAAAAAATACAAAAATTACTGGGCGTAGTGGTGTGCACCTGTAATCCCAGCTACTTGGGAGGCTGAGGCAGGAGGATCGCTTGAACCCATGAGTGGAGGTTGCAGGGAGACAAGATCATGCCCCTGCACTCCAGCCTGGGCAACAGAGCAAGACTCCATCTCAAAAAAAAAAAAAAAAAAAGTGGAAAGCAGAAGGTAATATCCAGAACACTAGTAACAAAGAATGTAAAGCCCCCAGAAGACCTTCTCCATGGGATAAGGACTTAATTTCAGAGCAATACCAGGCTTGAATAGACTGACACAGAGGGCCCTTCTCTGCTGACAACTTTGGGAGTGATGGTCCTACCCAGGTCACTTAAGTTTGGCTAAGTGTTTCAACCAATCTGCAAAACTCTACCCCAGCACTTTGCTTCCTGCTCCTGAATTGAGAAATTTCATATTTAGTTGTGAATCACAAGCATATAGAGACTCCACACACTAATTCTTAGGGAAGAGAGCTCCAAGGACCAGACAGAATTATCCTTAAATCAGGAGATGATGAGATAGATGGCTAATAAGCATAACTCAAAGAAGTGTGGACTTCATAGATATCCAATCTAAATAAAATGATATGACCCAACATGGTTCACTTCCTTTCTTAAATAGCTACTTTGTCCCTGTTCAATTTTTATCTACAAATATATTAAGGAAAT